TTTTTTTTTTGAGATAGGGTCTCACTAGGTCACTAAGTTGCCCAGGCTGGGCTTGAACTTGCAATCCTCCTTCACACCCTCTGGTCAAGTGGCTGGGATTTCAGAATTGTGCCTCCATGCTTGGCCTCCAGTGATCTCCATCTGAGCCCAGACTTTGGTTAGGGGGCAGGCTTTGGGACACAGGGACTCACCCACGATGGATCTGTCCCACGATCTGCATGTGATACTTTTGGGGCATCTTACAGCTTCCAGAGATAGCTGTTGCCACCACCACCTGCAAATCCCAAAGTACAGAATGGGGATGGGCCCTAAGTGGGGCTCTCTTCCAAGGGGTCTCTTCCAAATCTCTTTTCTATGTGGGCCCCACATTGTACCCTTCTGCCACGTTGGGGCAGCTGTGGGGGACAATGTGAAGAACAGGAAGGGAGGAAGAGCCATGCACAGGTACATGGAATGGATTCACTTGTGACTTTCTGTCCCACTGGTTGCCAGTGGAGGGGTGGGGTGGGCAGCGGGTGAGGGTCCCTGGCCCTGCCTGGGGCAGAAATCCTCTTCTCACAGCCCCTCCATCCTGGCTCCAGGCAAGTTCTTACCACGATCACCTCTGTGGGGATGGGGAAGCGGATCTTGTGCATGTATCGAGCGTTGAGCTCCTTCACCACCACCAGGATGAGCCCGCTGATGAGGGCGAAGATGAGCGAGGCGACGTTGGTGTGGGGAAGATTTTTGCAAATGTCAATGAACGTCTGGTGGAGAGAGCATCGTGCTCACAGATCTCGCCCTTTCTTCCCATGCAGCCCACCCTGGGGTGCCTGAGCCAGGGAAGAGATGCCCGTCAGTGCTAATGACACAGGCATACGAAGGCCACGAACAGTGTCTCACCTGCCACCACCCCCTCCCGAAGGCACCTCAGGAGCTGGGATAAGACTGCTTTCTTTTTTTTTCTCTACAAGAGCTCAAACTGAAAGTGGAAGGATAGAGATCAGATTTAAGGAAGGACTTCCCAGGTGGGGAAGGGTTGAGGCACTGGAATAGGGAACCCATGGAATGCACCTCTCTTTTTCTGCAGGATTAACTGCAGTCTCAGCCAGCCCCAGAGGCCATGTGTTTGACCCCCGTCTCATGGTGGGAACCCCGCCTCAGAATCCTCTCTGAACAACAGCTCGGCCACCCTTGCTGAGGACAACTCAGAATGAGCGGCTTGAAGGTTCCTCAGACAGTTCACTCTGCTCCCGTGATTGCTCAGCGCCTGCCTCATCTGTAGGCGTGCCCCAGACTCACGAGGACGATGGACCCTGGGCCTGAGTAGGAAGGGATGGTGAGTCCGAAGATGTACTTGAGCACCGAGATCAGGATTTGCAGGCCGGCGGCTGTCATGAAGCCCCGGACAAAGGACTCAGAGAGGTAGATGGCCACGAAGCCAAATTGCATGAAGCCCAGGCCCATCTGGAAGGGAGAAGGGGCTGGTGGGGTTATCTGCTCCGCAACCTGCCTGACCCTAATCTGGGCCTGGAGCCCCATGTAGCGCGGGACAGCAGTGGCTCTGGGGAATGAGCCCTCTGTGACCTTGTGTTGCCCTTCCCAGTGCCCTGTGTGCCTGCTACCAGACCTCAGTTCTTTTGGGGTATGGGCTTCTTTGTCACTTCGCCTCTCTGGCTTCAGTCTCCTTCATTTAAAGCAAGCCTGGCTGTCCCTCCTGTCTTGGACAGTGGCAGCGCCATACGCCTGATTGCCTAACCAAACAGTTGCAGTCATCTCTCACCGCCCACGTCCAGCCTACCATCACACACTGTAACGTCCCTCACATCTGCCCCCATCTTCCTCTCCACAGCCACTGCCCTGGTCTGGCCCTCATCACTCCTGCTTGGGTCTCTGCAGAGTCCCTGCTGTTCCCCACAATGGTTCCAATCCACCTGCAGCAGCTTTCTCTACAGCCCCAGGGATCCTTATACACTGCCAGTTAGACCTGAGGCCATTGCTTCGGGGACACAACCCAGACTTCACTCTCTGGCCCCTGCCCCCATCTCTGGTCTCTTTCTGGCCCTGTGCCGCACTCCTTGCTGGTAAGACTACTTGTTAGGCCTCTGTGCTGCTACCCGTGCCAGGATTACCCTTCGGCACCTGTTCATTCAGCTCCTCGTTAAATTCTACTCATCCTTTCAGAGCGCAGATGTCACCTCCTCTGTGAGGTCTTCCTGGATTTCTCCTCTGTTCCTGCAGCCATTTGTACAAAGCTGTACTGTGCACCTTATCTCTACATAGAAATTTATCTGTTGACATGACTACTTCCTCTCCTGGCTAGGAACAGCTTGTGAACTGGACCTTTTTCTGACTTATCTTTGTATCCTCAGGACTTAGCCCAGCTCTGGGCACAGAGAAACAACAACAACAACAACAAAAACCCCAAAACATGACAAAGAGCATCCCCCCACAGATAATGGATGGATGGATGAATGAAAGGTGTTGGCCCCTGAGGCTGCTTCCTGCTCTCACATTTTGTTGTGCTGTGCTTCCCTTCCTAAAACTTAGGAGCGCTTTGCTCTCCTTGGTAGCAGTTCAGGTTATGCTGTGCGCCTGCGCCATGGCTGGGGGTGGCGGAGGCTGGCGGGCCCTCCCTGGGTGCTGACAGAGTTGGGGCAGTGGACAGACACTGTGGATCTTCCCAGGCAGTTTTAAAATTCAGGACAATTTTATCACTACTGCTGGGCTTAAGTATGGACCTGCTAGATGCAGGTGAGAAACTACTTCCAAATTTTAAGGTCCTTTTTGGCCTGGGGTAAAGGGTGGGGAAGAGGGAGAAGTAGATTTGACATCACATCAGGGGCTTTGACACAGGGGCAGAGTGTTCCAATGCCCTCCTGAGGCAAGGCCTCGTGGGGCCGGGGCATCCCCCTCACCTGGATGATGGCAGTCAGGCAGGCCAGTGTCGCTGACACATGCAGCCTCTCTGTCTCCATGGCTGCAGTGTCCACATAGCTCTCATTGGTGGCATTGTTGAAGACCCGGAATTTAGACTCTGGGGCCAGCTGCAGACAGATGTTACCCACCAGGATGCTGATAACGGCAAAGGTACCTGTGGTGCCCCATGCAGCCAGCAAAAATCAAAGGTTTGGAGCATGCCCCTGGAAACCAGCAAAAGGCCCAGGGCACACCCTAACCCCCAGGAGATGGGTTCCCTTATCTGCATCATCCCTCTCTGTAACACAACAGAGCTAGCACTCACATCTGGCCACCACCTGTGCTTTCTAAGATGCGCTTGCCCTACCGGTCAGTACCATCACATTGGACACCTGAGTTCAGAAGTGCAAGCAAAGCCTGCACCAGAAAGCAGCCCTGGTGACCAGGTCCTTTCTCTCCATCTCACTTACCACCAGTGAATTCCAAATGTCCGTGTAGTGGCCTGATGGGACCAGCCTGGGCATTTGATGGTGGTTTCCCACATTGATTTAGCCTGAATGGTGTATGGTGTATCTTTTTTTTTTGGGGGGGTCTTTTTGAGACAGTCTCCCCATGTGGTTCAGGCTGGCCTTGAGCTCACTTTGTAGCCCAGACTGGTCTGGCACTCACAACAATCCTCCTGCCAAAGCCTCCCACGTGCTGGGATTAGAGGCTAGTATGGCATATCTTTTCTACCAAGTTCTCCTCTCCATCAGGGAAGCAGCTAGAATAGGTCATGCTAACTGACCTCACGGAGGCTCAATGGTTTCTCCAGGTTACTGAGGACTGCCAGGGTCACTGAAGACCTGTGACCAACATACCAATCATCTCTCCAGGACTGACTCGCCCCAACTCTGGGAGAAAGCACGTAGAAGCTAAGCCTCGGTCACCATGCCACCCATCCTCAGGGTCCAGATCATCCTGTCTGGAAAGGGGAGTGGGCTTACCTGGCACCATCTGGTGCACACTCCCCAGGAAGAAGTAGGCCAGCAGGGGGAAGAAGGAGGAGTAGAGGCCATTGACTGCAGGGAGGTTGGCCAGCAGAGCAAATGCCATGCCTGCGGGTGACAAAGAGAGTGAAGGCTCAGAGCACGGCTGGTTTATGGAGGTCACAGAGAGTTGAGGTAGGGTAAGGAGAGGACTAGAGGGAGTAGCGGGCTGGGCATGACTGAGGGGCTTCTCACCTTGTGGCACCTGGATGCATCCCCCACTGAGGCCGCCGAGCACGTCGGGGAGAAGGTACTCTTTGATCTTGTACTTGGGGAGCCAGGAGAGCACAGGAAGCAGCCCAAACACCACAGTTTTGATCTTAGTGGAGGAGCATCTGCAGGGAAAAGGGCAGATTGGAGAGCTTGGTGGCAGCCCACCACACATGCATTCGCAACCCACTTGGATCTCAGGCAGGATTCTGGGCACCCACACTGTGCTGCCTGCCATGGCCGCTGAGGAGAGCAGCAGGAACTTTCTCAGGATAGCTCCCAACCATGCCCTGGCATGAGCTGGAGGTCTTCTCGTTGCAGGCTGCTCGTCTAGGAAGTCCACAGGCTTGGCTTTGATATGTGGATCTCACAGCGGCTCAGCCTTTGAGGTGTTGGTCCACTCCTAGCTTGATAACCCTTCTCTAAGAAAGGCTTCTCTGAGCTCTTGTTTGAGCAAGTGCAGGTCCAGGCACCCTGGCCTGGGCTCCTGCAGCTCTGCCCGCATCCTGTGCTCTACCAATTTGCTTTTCGTCTGTCTCTGGACAGCAAACCCTGCCATGGCGAGAAGTCTGCTTCTCTTGTTCATACTGTACACAATGACTGTAAGAGGCTGCTTGGTAAATATTTGTGGAATAAAAGAATGAATAAGTGAATGGATTAGCTGGCATTGAAACCCCGTCTGAATTGGAGGCTGCCTGCTGCCCTTTTTCTTGAACTTTCCCCAAAAGGACAGCTCTGCTGTCTCTTCAGGGTGCAGCTCTGCTAACCCCTTGTCCTTGTTTTGTGTGATGGCTTTATCCCGGAGTTCTTTGCTGGGGAATGCATTGCAGAGGAGGGAAGAAATGTTCCTAGGTCACTGCAGGGTAGGAGAGTTGATCCCTTCCCTGTTTGTCGAACACCTTGAGGTCTTTCATGGAAACTCCAGAGCGGTAGGAACAAGGGTGACAGCCGCTGGATTGATGACTGGAAGCAGGTGGGGGCCTTTGCTTTTCTTCTCCCGGTTAAAGGAACTCAAATACTCAGGGCCCATCTGGTGACTCACCAGCTTGCCTGATTAGGCTTCCTTTCCCGTCCAGTATCAATTCCTGCTCTTTGCTCTTGCTCAACAATAGTTTGCCTGACACTGGGTCCCCTGGATGTCACCCAAGGCTGAAACCAACACAGATAATGCTCTGAGTCCTGGAAAGTGCAAGGAGACTTTTCTGGCCCAACAAAGCCCCTTGTGGGATGGCATCACCATCAGCCTCTGACTTCCCAGTCTTCTGTAGGACTTGCAAATGCCTCTCCCATCCCTGGGATGGTGGAGAGGGAGTTGGACTTGGTGAGTTGCTTAATGCATTGTTGAAGTTTTGTTGTAGGAGAAAAGCAGCCTTGCAGGAGCTCTATTAGGCTGTACTGTTTATGACAGAGGAAACAAGATTCAAGAGTAAACAGCTGGCTGGGGAAAGTATAACCATTCATTTGTGGGCTAGTGTCTGTCTGCCCAGCCTTCCTTGCAATTCTGACATATGTGGGGCAAGCAACCTGAAGTCTGAAAGAAGAAGTGGAAGCAGATGCTGAACAACCATACAGGGGTCTCAGAGATGCCTCAGTGGAGGGAGAGGTCAGTTTCCCAGGCATTCATCACTGCCAGGTATTTATCAGAGAACCTTCTGTATGCCCGGCCCTGTTCATGGTCTCACATCTGCATCGTGGGAATTGATAGCTTCCTGCCTCCCTTTATGGTGCATATCATCCTCATCTTTTAGGACCACAGCAGACCTCCCAAGCTCCAGCACAGATGCAACCCCACCTTGAACTCTTTGGGCACAAAGACCGCTGAGTCCACCTGTCTGAGGAGCACAGCTGTGGGTGCGGTGCCCAGAACCGGGGCCCTCGAGAACCTGGGCAGAGATGGAGCCTCCCAAGAGAAGCAGGGTTGGGCCGGGGCTTTTAGTAAAACTCAAGTGGGTGATCAGCCTGACCTGAACCAGTTCCACCTGCATCTCTGCTTCAACCACTGCCAGCGACCTCAATCCAGGTAACTGAATCAGCTCTTACCCCAGGGGAGTGAGCGTGCACCAGCCAGCCCACAGCTACGCCTGGGTGACAGCCGCAAAGCAGGAAGGGGGTGTGTGGCCTCAGGTCCCCAGGATATGGATCCACACGGCCTCATGTGGCCTTCAGTGTTGGTGGGTGACGCTGCCTACCAACATGCCAGGGATAGAAGGGCAGAAAGAGCCTGGAGGTGGACAGAACTTCAGGTACGTGGGTCCCTTTTAGGAGAGCCCAGGAATTTAGAGCTCCTGTAGGAATTCTCCGGATCAGGTGGAAGAAGGACTATCTAGGCCAGAAAGCGGAGAAAAGGCATGGGATGGTGAAAGCTTCAGGTATTTTTGGATAAACTGGGCACAGGGCTCTGGTGCCTTGTACCCACCCTCTTTTCTACAGCTTGTCCATCTGGAGTTCCTGGGAAGACCAAGAGAGTCTTGGCTGCACAGAATCTAGGGGTGAGGAATGCCCTAAACCCTTCTGAGATTACAGATGCTTCTTGTTCCTCCTCTCCATCCTCCCTGGGGCTCTCAGGGAAGATGAGCTTGTAGGCGCTTGTACTGAAGGTTCCAAGCCTCCCTCCCAAGGGTTTCCTTAAGCCCCGGTGTAGGGATACCAGTGCAGGAACCATGCCCTGGAGCTCAAGGACTTTGGTGAGGAGCAGAAGAAAGAGGAGGCCGGGCCGTGGGCCATGTTACCTGAAGGCATGGCGAAGCTTTGCTCCCACTGGGTAAGTCCGATCCTTCTTCTCAAACTCCTCATCGAAGAGGGTGAGAGCGTATGCAGCTCTGTCTACCACGTAGCGGGGCCGGGGCTGGCTCATGTCTGGAGCATTTATAAGCTTTGGGAGGAGCAGAGAGAGGGAAGATGAAGGACACCCCTCTTCACACAGCCAGGGCTTTCTTTCTCTGCTCCTTGCTGCAGCAGTTTTATGCTGGTCCTCCCCGCCCCATGCAGCAAGGTGCCTCCCTCCCCTCCACCAAGTCACTTCTTCTGGTGGCCTTCCTTCCCGGGCCCTGGTGACACACACCCTTACAGTGGCTGTTTCCCTTGGCGCCAGCACGTGGCTGGCACTGCACACCTGTGACATCACTCACCCCCGCCAAGCACCAGGTGAAGAGCAGGTGGGAGTACTGGGGCAGAGGTCACAGCTGGATTCAGTATGTTGAGCCTGCTCCTTCCTGGGTCCCTAGAGCCCCCCAAAACCTCTGTCTCTCTCTAGGCCTCAGTTTCCCTGGCAGAAAGACTCCTATCATTTAGCCAATGGGCTTGGAACAAATAGAGAAAACAGCCTTCTGTGAGACAGAGGGGTGGCTGAGGGGACTCCAGGAGGACCCTTCCTGAGTAGGATGCCTTGGACCTCACCCACAGGTTTCTCTGGGAGGGACAATGGCGTGTTTGGGGAAGTCAGGATGGTCCATTGCCTGCTGTCTCTCCCACAGCTTCTGGTGCCTATCCTTCCCGCCACCCTTGTGTACTGGCATCTCTCTCCTCCTTGTTGTTTGCACAACCTCACTGACATCCCAGGAGCTGTTGGGCAGAGCTAGGTGCCAGGGCCCTGGAGGTGCCTTTCCTCCCCCATCTCTGGGTCCCTTCCCCTCTCCCCTGCTCTCCAGGGCCAGGAGAAGCCACTAGGAGGACGCTGGAAGAAGTGGGGAGCAGGGGCAGATTAGAGGGAGGGTTTGTATTTGGGGTTGGGGAGTTCAGGGCAACTGTGGCCAGTCTGAGGTGTGGTTGAACAAGGGTAACTCACAGGGAAGTAGGCTGCCCTTGACTAACGAAGGTCATCAGAGGGGAGTGGGCTGTGGATGCTGTTTGTGGAAGAGGACCCTGGGATGTGATAGAAAGGCTGTTCACTAAGGTCCAGAAGCCTGCTTCTAGTCCTGGCTCTACCGGAGAGGTAGGTGGAAGGGATGACCTTGCCCCTCCAACCCTCTGATTCCCATCAGCAAAGGGAGGGTAGCTTCCCTATTTCACAGGGTTGTTGAGAAGATCAGGTGAGTTGAGGGTTAAGAAGGGATTAAGCAGAGCGTAAAGGGTGGTGCAGGTGTGGGTTCCTGTTACTAACGAGCCTGTGCTTCAGCCGATGATGGCTGGGTTGATGCATTCCATTCCCTGGGTCTCAGGACGGAGGTTCTTTGGGAACTGTGCACAGGCAAGGGAGGATTTTTGGTAAAACCCCACTCATGGCACCCAACTGAAGCAAGATGGGGAACGAACCTCCCTCCAGTGCCATGCACAGACCCTCTCCTGGGCCTTCGTAGTCAACAATGCTTGTCGAGTGAATCAGCATGGTGTGGTAGAGGAGGAGACAGAGGTAGAAGTGAATGGCATGTGAGACCTTTCAGAGGGAGAAATGCAGAGTGGCACCAGAAAAACAGCACAAGCTTGGGAGCCAGAATGACCTGTGTTCAGGATTCAGTTTCTTCATCTGTAAGTGAGGATAATAACAGTCCTGGGCAGTTGCTATGAAGCTTCAGTGAGAAGATGAGTGTGCAGTGCCCAGCCTTTCCTGGGCACCCCGTGAATGGTAGCGGCAATGATTACTATTATTAAATGGGAGGTGCTTCTTCCTCATGGGAGAGACTGTTTTCTGGCCTTCAGTCTTTCACCTTCTCTGTGAGCAGGGTGGCCTCGCTGTCCCTGGCCACCCTTTCCAGGGTCTACCAGGGTCTACCAGGGTCTACCAGGGTCTGGCTTTCTGGATAGATTTCTTGGCAGGTTCTTTGGGGAGGAGTCTAGAGCTCTACACCTGGGCTTTAGGGAGAGACTTGCGGTTTGAGGAATGTGTTCCAGGCCACTAAACAGACCACTGGCAAAGAAATAGCCCAACTTTCTAGGCAGGCCAAATCAGAAAAGTGCCCTTTGGAAAAGGGGCTGATGACAGGACCACTTATGTCCATGGCACCCAGAGGGCTGTGACCCTGAATCTTCTCCCTAAGATGCTTCCAAAGGCTGGAAGTTCTAGTAGTGAATTGTGAGGGCTCTTTTTTTTTTTTTTTTTTTTTTGTCTTTTTGAGACAGGGTCTTGCACACTTCAGGCTGGCCTTGATCTCACTTTGTAGCCCAGGTCAGCCTCTAATTCACAACGATCCTCTTGCCTCAGCCTCCTGAGTGCTGGAATTACAGGCATGCACCACCATGCCCGGCCCTCCCTCTTTCCTTCTCTCCTCTTACTCACTTCCAGGTGGATCAGTCAAACTCCACATCCTTATTTTGACACTTTTGAGTTTTCATCCTCTGGCCTTGTTTAGGGGAACTCAGTAGATGTGTTGGCCGGGTCTGTTCAGCACCCCCAACAAGCTTGGATATCTGCCCATACTTTCCTCCTCTCCCTGGGACTGACTCATTTTGCCTTTCTAGACCTGCCCATCCTTAAGACTTGCTTAAGTTCTTCCTTCTCCTCTCTCTTCCTCCTCTCTGTCTGGGAAGCCTTTCCTCATCACCCCAGCCAGAGGGATCTGGCTTTTTCTGAGACCTCTTTCACAGGTTCCTGTCCAGCCTGCACCCTGGGCATTCCTGTCCATCCTTCCAGGGAGGGGAGGAGGAAAGGGGTGTGAGTGGTGAAACTGCTCCAGAGAGTGAACAGGTGGGTGACTCAGGACTTCCCCTGCCCTTCTGGACAGCTTCCCTACTGCCGGGGACCGGATGCTTGGGAGTTCCCCTGCCCCCTCCCCCGGGGGACACAGGCCAGCAGGGAAAAACTCCCTGGCTTTACCGCAACATGACATCTGTCCTTTTCTCTCACTGTCTCCCTTTCCCTACCTAAACAGGTGCAGCTGTGAAAAGGCATTGGGAGTTTTCACAATCCCTGGTGCACACCACACACACAAGCCAGCAACCGCTCGGAGTCAGGAAGTTTTGTCTGGAAGGGAGCTTGGCCACGCAAGCCCAGTTCTCTCTTTTTGTGACTGAAGAAAGTGCATCTTGAAGAGAGGTAGGAGGTGTTGGTCTGAAGCAGGCCTGGATCCCATGCAGTGCTCCCATGAGCAGGGGCTCTTGATCTCCCAGGGGCAGCACTGACCTCTGCTTCGTGGGGCTGTTCCCTGAGTGGTATCCAGAGTCTCCTTTCAGACCGTTCTGGTGACCTTGTCATTTAGCAAATGAGACAGGGTTTCTGGGTTCTGATTCTTCTCTTTTTTAGGGGGGACTAAAGCCAGGGTTTTTGAACTGAGCTCTTTCCTCAGCCTTTTTCACTTTGATACAGGGTGTTGCTAAGTTGCTAATTGCCCAGGTTGAAGTCAAACTTGGGATCTTCCTGCCTCAGCCTCTCAGAGCGCTGGGATAATAGGCATGCATCACTGTACCCAGATTTGAGTCTTCTTTTGAGGACTTTGTGGTGGGGTCTGCCTCCCATCCTGGCCTTAAGTTACTCAAGTCACAAATCTGCAGGCTCAGGAGCTCCCCCAGCTCCTGGTGAGGAGGCACTCTTGCTTCCTAATTCCAAAGACAGGGCTTGAGATCGGGTGGGATGCAGCAGGGGAGGTCACCTTCATCCCCAGCCAGTTCTTCAGGTCTTGGGACAGTGGAGGAAAGGGGGACAGCGAAGTGGACAGGGTGAGCGGTGTGCTGGGAAGGGCCTGCCTCTTACAGATGGGCTTTGGGACTCTTTGAGAGCTAAGGAGGCTGTGGGCTCCCAGGGGCCTCCAGGGAGGAGTGGGCACCTCCTGTGCTGGCTGAGGGGTATGGGAAGGGGACGAGGGAGCAAGAAAGGCGAGAAGAGGGAACGTGACAATTTGACCCCTAGTTAACACACAGCCCCTGGGTGATGTCAGCTTGGCCAAGTGTTTCACTGCCCTGGGTGTGTGTCCAGGGGCCTCGCTGCCTCCGTTCCCACACCGATCAGGATCAGGAATGAGAGCGGGTGCCGTGTGACAATATTGAGGGACAAAAAGTAGGCCCTGCCCCTCCCCCACATGCAGGGAAGGAGAGGTGGTCCAAAGAGCTGAAGAGACTGAGAGGGGCTGTGGGGCTTCAGAGCACAGAGGGGGCCAGGGAAGAGCAGAGGGGAGGAGGTGCAGGTGCTCGGGCAACTCCTCAGCTCTGGGAGGGCAGTGAGGTCAGTCTGGGGCTAGAGGACCAGGGGTCTTTTGGAGCAAGAGAACTCAGGGGGCCTCCCCTAGGATGAGCTCCTGCAAAAGAAAGCCAGGGGGACCCAGGGCTGTCGGCACCCTCAGCACCCTGGGCTGAGGTGGACGCCGTGCCTGGCCGCGGTCAGCATGCCATCATCTCCCGAGGGTTCCCTTTCCTGCCCCGCCATTCACTCTGCTTCTGTGGCCTTCCTTTCCCTGCCTGCTCTTGTGCCCCGACCCCAGGTCCTGAGCCCTTTAGATGTTTCGGGCACTGGCAGAGGAAAGCAGAAAATCTCTTCAGCACAGGGCAAGGACGTCTGGGAGCAGGGCCCCGGGGCCCACATGTGGCTTTGGTCGGGGCTAGAGGTGACCCTGTCACTGCACCCCAGCCCAGCTTCCTCCCCGGCGCATGTGGGGAGCGGGGTTCTCAGGCGCACCTGTGCCAGGTACAGGAGCAGCCCTAGCTCGGCTAAACCACCTCGGTGTCCTTATCACGGCCCCTACCTGGCCGGTCACCATGCTGTGGGGAAAGAAAGGTCACTTTGAGGTTTCCCTTCTGCTCCAGCTGCTGGTGGCCTCTGCCTCAGCCAGGGTGTGAGCCCCAGCGGAAGGGCACCTCTGTCTGGCCAGGGTGGAGTGGGACAAGATGGTGTCCCTGACAGGGCAAGTGAGGCTGCTGAGGACCAGGGACCCCAAGGCATCTTTAGATACTCTTTCTGTTTCTGTCATCTTCATGGTTCTTGAGTGAATCTTACTCCAGACTAATTTCCTCCTCCGTGGTGCAAGGAAAGGACAAGATGTCCTAGACCTGTCTTGGGCAGGGGAAAGACTCCCTGCTGTGACCCCCCCGCAACCAGCCGGCCATACTCCTTATCTCTGAGCTGAATCTCCCTCCACCTTTGCTGTTCCTGTTAGGGACAGGGACAGGTGCTGCGAGGAGGAAGTGAGCTGTAGTCAAAAAGACAGAGACTTAAAGATACTCCCCACAGCGGGATCTGAGCAAAGTCACGCAGTCCCTGGAACAGACGCTTGGGTTAGACATGTAGATGTCTCAAAGGAGACTGAGGCCAGTCTCACTCAGAAGCAGGGCCTGGACCAGGAGACTTGGGAAGGTCTGAGTATCTAGATGAAGCCCAGAGTGGCATAGGTGAGTTTACCTGAGGAGCAGCTCTGTGTCTCTAAGCAGTGACCCTTTATATGCAGGAGGTTGGACTGTTGAGCTGGTCCCTGCCCCCCAGTGAGCTGACTCCTGCTGAGTAGTGTAGTTTAAATCACCTTGCTACATACTGACTATGTGCCTGTCTCCTGGAAGACGAGCAGTAAGGGATTAAAAAAAAAAGCCCTCTCAGCCAGGTGTGGTGGCACATGCTTGTAATCCCAGCACTCTGGGAGGCTGAGGCAGGATGACTACAAGTTTGAGTCTTATCTGGGCCATTTAGTGACTCATTGAGACCCTGTTTCAAAATAAAAACTGAAGAAGTTCAGTGTAAAAGGCCCCAGGTTCCATTCCCAATGCAAAGAGGAGGAAAAAAGCCCAACTGTGCCCCCTGGGGAGGTGTACAAATGGGCCCAGCGCCTGAAACAGATCGTGGGCACTGCTGGGGAGGGCCATGGCTGCGAGGAGGTCCTGTGTGTGCCAGTCTCCCTGCTGCCCAAGCAGCTCTTGTCAGGTTCTGAATGCCAGGGCCAGTGTGAGAGCCTGTGGGGGTGATGGGGTTCTGGAGAAGCTGTCTACAAGGGCGAAGGCATTCAGGGGCACAGCCCTCCCTCATCCTCCCTGCACAGGGGCTATGTCACACCCAGGGGCATACCCTTGATGCTGGTGCTGAGACCCAGTGGGTCTAAGTTCAAGAGAGGAGTTGGCACTAGAACGGTAAATATTTGCTGGGCCTGAGCTGGGGACCCTCAGAATGGAAATCAGCCCACTGCCTGAAGGTAACTTGAGATCCCCAAGCTGCTAGATGAGGAGCTGGGAAGAAGGAGCCTGTGGGGCTGGCTTGTCATCTGCTCCAGAGGAACTGGCTGTCACTGCTACTCCAGGCTTCGGCCTGGATTTGCAAACCTTCACAGCTCTCCTTGTCCACGTGAGACCAGCCGCAGCCTCCTTGGAGACGTTAGCAGTGTGACCCGAACGCTTCTGGCTGAAGCATTGTCGGGGAGCCGGGCCAGGGCCTGCCCACCTATTCCCTCCCCACGGGGGACTGACCTGCCTGCGAGAGCTGGTCCCCGGCCCACCCTCCCCTCGCTTCCCTTTCCTTCCGCCTCTTCCAACTCTCAGGGTGAATAGGGACAAACAGGATTCCTTGTGGTCTGTGCTAAGTGCCTGAGCCGACTGAGTGACAGAGGACATCTAGAAGGGTGGGAGGAGGGGGACAGCCACACAGAACAGGCTGGAGTGCCAAGCATGAAGGGCTCTCTGCTTCCCAGACTTGAAAAGAAAGGGAGAGGCACAGCCAGCTTCTTCAAAGGCTGGTGCTCTGGGGAAAGCCCCAGGGTCCCCTCCCCAGGAGGCTTGGTGGGGCAGGTGGCTCTTTGGCACCCTCTGTGTGGGAGTCTAGGGGCCTCCTCCACCATAGCTCTGTCCTTCTACTCCCTCAGCCACCCCTGGCCTAGAAGTGAGGTCCTTCACAGAAGTGGGGACCCAATGGGCTTCTCAGAGGTGAAGCCCTAGGAGCTGCTCCCAGACTTGGGGACCAGTGTGTCCTTCCCACTTTGCTCAGCTGGGCAAGCAGCTCACCCTGTGCCCAGGTGGCCCTGTCATCCGTCTCCCAGGTGCCCCCCTCCGGTGGGGTGGGCTGGGCCAGTCGGGTGGGGCTTACCGGTGGGTGAGCAGAGCGGCTGGGCTGGGCTGCAGGTGTGTCTGGGCAGCGGGCAGCCAAAAGGTGTTCTGAGGTGTGTGAAA